CGTTGCGGGCCCCCGGGGTGCTCTGTGTCCCCGCTGTTTCCGGGTGCTGCCCTCGCAAAAAGCAGGAAAACTTCTACTCAGTGCGGGACCCTCAGCTAGCTTGTACGGTTTGTGGTTGGGTTTGCTCTGCTCCAGCGCGGGGCCCCTAGGGTACGGGCAGCAAGGGTCTCTCTCTCTCTCTCTACATATGTATATTCATTTTACATATATATATATATATATATATACACACATCCCTCTTTCTTTCGCCAGGGCTGGGGCAGGAGTCTCTCTCTCTCTCTCTCTCTTTCCTTCCCCTTTGCCCAACTCTCTTACTCATAAGTACGCCAAGGAGCAGCTGTCTGAGTCTGCAGCAATGCGACATCAAGCAAAATCTCCTGTGGCTCGACAGAAATCGTCATCCGCTGGAGCGACTTCAACTTTCGGGCTTACACGGGTTCAGGTATGGTTAGGACCAGCTGAAGGCTACACTCATTGCCACTGCATTTCTAACCCCGATCAATGCATGAGTGGTGGTTCTGAGTTGTAGGGTGCCCATCCAGAACCAAGCACGTTGAGTGTTGCTATCTGCTGCCAGGAACTAAAGCACTACCACAACATTACCACAACACAGTAAGCGGGATACTTTCCCGAAGCAATGAATCAGTTTGGTGGTGTTAAATGCGTTGATTACTTGGTTGTGGCATTTAGCCTGTGCAGTTTCTCTTCAGTGATGATGGCTACGCCTGAATGCTGGGTTGCTCGCAGCTTCGTTCTATGGCGAACGAGGGTTGATGCTGCATGAGCCCACGATTTGGACTGACCGAACCATGGGCGACACTTGTCTGCTTGGCTGGCTTCGTGGCTTACGCTTCAAGAAGTCACCAGACAAATGGTGCACAATCTGCGACGACAATGGGACAGAAACTGGATGACTGGCGGTTAGAAGCTGAGAGGCATGCATGAAATGATGTCGCGCCACCTGTCTATGTTTCTTGGAATGCATGTCATGTCCATCAGTACAGTGAGACGGTTTAGAGTCAGATCGCGAGGTGGGGTGTCCCTGTTTGCTCTCTCCTCGTTCTCGTCGTAGAGTGCAAAGGCACCAAGGCTCGCCCAAGCCTGCACGGATGCAATTCGGTTGTTATTCTGCGCAAATTGCTGGCTTAGTGGCTTCCGCACCGCTAAGTACGGCTTCGAGGTTCCTTTTTTCAGACTTCGGGGGAACAGGCGACCTTTGTGTATTTAGCTATCTGTGCCGGTGCGAGGAGTCTACGTGTCGATATTGAGGCAGTCACTTGCAGGATTTTGCAGATGCACGGTTTGACCTTCAAGAAAATCGGTATGCAAACGCCGAAACATGTTGAGCTGGTCATTTTGCCGTTGCATGCGTGGTTTGACAACCACCTATTCAAGAAAGGTAAAGACCGAACACCACCTAAGCTTCAACTGCCCCGGCACACTCCTACCACACTGAGTTCCTAAACCGTCCAAGCCCAGTTGCGAGCAGGAGGAAGATACGGAACGGCAACATGGAGGCCACCGGCACCTGGAGTGTTCCCGCTTGATAGCAGCATTCTGGAGGCTGAAGCCTTCTTTACTCTTCAGTCCCGGTCAATCAACTTGGACACTAAGCCCAAACCGCAGAACTTCGAGATGAAGGTTAGTCGACGTCTTGCAGGGGGGTCGAAGTAACTGCGGACACAAAGCCTAGCATAGACCCAGACCCATGCAGCTCGCATTGAGCATCTGTGCATGTCGGAGATCGGGCAGGGATTGCGGTAGGAGGAGTACGACGATGTGCGAAATGTCTTGACGCAGGTTTCCTCCGATGGCTCGTCTATGGGGAATGCTCCACAGGCCTGTTTGGGATGGGGACAGTCTGTCCCCTCCTTCACACTTTACTTGTCCATGGTCTACCAGCAACTCGAACTACTGGCACTGTGCTTGGCCAGTCGGAGCAAGATCACCACTATAGATACTCCCTCGACGAAGCCAGAAGATAGAGGCACTCGAAACTCTCAAGAAGCAGAATTAGCAGCTGCCACACTGGTGCCCGAGGCCACCACGGTGGCCGCATTACTTCATCAACCCAACTTGGGAAATCAAAGACTCAAGCAACATGGGTTGGAGCCTTGGAGCATCTTGCGGTCCAAGCAGCCCCAAGAAAGGGCAAAGGTTCAGTCGTTTGCTACGGATGCGCCGCCGCTAAGGTGTCGAGAGGCGCCAGACGGCTGCGAAAGCCACAATGACAGAACAACAGAATAACAGGGCTTGGCCAACCACGAGGATTCAAGATGAATGAAGTATGGTGAAGCGAGCGCAATACAAACACGACCCACCAGTATCCACCACTTGACGGTAGAAGTGTATATCACCTTGATGGGCGCACTACATCGATCACAGCTGTTGCTACACAAGGGTTCATTCTGCATGTGGTATCACGCTGAAAACGAAGACGAGCATATCACGATTCATGACTTGTTCAAGAAAGTGCTTGCCACAAAATCGCCTCGGCTCGGGATATCTGCGGTCGTCCGTCCATGTTGCGTATGTGTCGCTGCAGAAGCTGTGCTCAGTGCACCGCGCTTGGAAGACTGAGTGGGAGGCTGAAGACTCCAACAACCATTCAAGCCAGCTGAGGCAACCGCACTCATCCTGGACCGCCGACACCGGTAATGCCTCCATGGGAGTCGAGGGTCACGCAGCTACAAAGTTCCTTCGCCTCCCCTTTAAAGCTTACTGGCCCTCTATAGGTTCCACCCTTTGTAATACGGAGCTCAGCCGGCTCCCAAACGACCTCTTTTATCTTTTTGCCCGCTGCCTGCGCGGTTCCAACCTCCAGCTTTTCAGTGAAGAAAAGGGAGAAGAAAGCTTTTTGAGAGGGGTGCAAGTTGTCCTCAACCGCCTCAACGTCCTGACTGGCCGCAACTTGAAGGACCCTACTCAAGGCTGCTTTCGCAGCCGTCTCTTGCCGCTGGACTCCTGCTCTTGCAGCAATGACCTTTGTTGGGCTTTCTGTGGTCGTTTGCTCTACAGCTTCCTAACTTAGAACACTCACTCTCATACCCTCAGATGGAGGCAGTGCAGAGTTTACACTTTACAGTGAGGGATTTGTAGGGCCGTCGACATTTCTCTTTTGGTTTTTGCAGGTTCATTCTGGGGCTAGGGCGCTTACGAAGCTTCTAAAGCACTTGACTTTTTGACCATCCTCTCGCATTCACATTTCGCTGGGGAGTTACGGCAAGCTGGTGTGACTGTACACACTGGGCTGAACACAGCAAAACCCTGTGACCCCAGTCCTAAACCCTAAACACTTCTGTGGGCTACAACTCCTGAAGGCCTCGAGCCCTCCATGCTCCGACTCTACTGGACAGCTCTCTCCTTCCACTAACCTGAGGAGCACCTTGAAACGTGGTATCACTACAAGGGTGCACAGAGATCGCCAACCTCGCAAATGCTGGGACTTCTGATACCTTTCAGCACAAATCCGAAGCCAAGCGGCTGCGGATCAGGAACGATTACTTTCGGAGTGAAAGAGTCGCCTGAGGCGTGGCTCCCACACATACAACTCGGCTGAATTTAGAGAGGTTTGGCCGCTTGCCTGATCTTGCAGGTGTACAGCGGACAGCCCCAGAAGCTCCAGCTACAAGCAAAAACAAAACGCACACTCGGGTGGATGATAAGCCTCCTAGCAGCCCCACTGTTGATCCCCAACTTAAGTTTGTTGCCGTTGCTTTCAGCTGGCACGATCTTGCAACTTGCAACAAGTCCTTCTAAGCCCAATCGCCAAAGCTTGCCTGCACTTAAAACAACGACCCCGAAGGCCCCACCCCGGAAGACCAAAAGAGAGAGCCGGGATCACCAGAAAGAGGACCTAACAAGGATACAGAAGCATGGCTTTCATTTATGACCAGTCTTCCTCTACAAACTCAAAGCCCCTAAGCCCCGCAGCCCTCGGCCCGAGAGCACGATTCTAAAGACCGAATGGAGTACTTCAGGCTCCAGTAGAATTCTCAAGCCCAGGCGCATCTGATCCTGGAACAATACGAAAACGTAGGTTCTTGTAGATTGGGAGCATCGCGGAACTTATTTTCGCAAACCACTGAATCCTACTTCCCTGCCTCCCGGCTGATACGAATGTCAGGCATGTAATTGTGATGGCCACCACCATCCCAAACTCATCTTCGCTCGGTTTGATTGGTGTCATTGTCGCTACTCTTTTGCTACAGTCTACAAGAGACTACAAGTGCCAGCACAAGAAGACGAAACAGAGCATTACTTCCCTGACTTCATCGATTGCAGCACACCGGCCTGGCTCTGCAAGGATTGCGCTGTTTCCGGGGGACCTCGATGCGAGCGGTAAACAAACAGCGTTAGGAATGCAGAAAACAGCGCACGAAAATGCACATCGGCAAACCTGCTGCTATGCAAACGCCACCACCAACATGCCACCGGCTGGCCAGAATCCAACACACCCGGCAAAGCATCAAACCAGTCCCTGGTTGGTCCACGACAAGCTCCAATCAATTTGGGAGTCCTCAAGGTTTAGGCCTAGGCCCAGGCCTGCGCTCACCATTGAAGCTTACGTTAGCGTTTGGGGTTTGGGGTTTGGGCCCCTTAGGGTCCAGGGTCTGCAACCACGAAGATGGCTCTGCCGGGCTAGACTTAAAGAGCAGCCCACTGCTTGGAGGCTTCAGGCACCCCTGGTTCGCTCCTCTGCTTGGGCCTCGCCCATGGAGCTGCAACTACAAACAGTCTGAGGCAAACTGAGCAGCCTTGCACCTTGAAAACTTGCCCATTACATCCCTGCTACACCTGGGCTATGTACAAGGCCCTACCTAAACCTCCTCAAGGTTGCTACAGCCGACTCGCCTTTTGGAGACCCAGGGCCTCCTGAAAACTCCAAAGCAAGCTCAGTATCCTGAAGAGCACATACGCCGATGACCCCCAATCCTAGAAACCACAAAACAAACCCAAGGCCTTAACAGCCCCAGATTGAAGCTGACAGGTCGGGCAACTGTCGGAAGCCAGGGACCGGGAACAGCAAACCCGGCAGAGGCGACACCTGAAACCCAGCTTGCAAAGATTCGGGTCAAACGACACAGGTGTTTTAGATCTCAGAAACCCTAAGCGCCCGAAATTTAGGGGCTTCAGCTAGAGGTGGGGCCTCCATCCTAAATTCCTAACGCGACCTCAGATGTGGCATCACTGGCGGGTGCCATCCATCCCTCTTCCTGCCTTCGCATCCCAGCCAGCCCCTGAGTCTGTTCTTGTTTGACCACGGACTGAGAAACCCAGGACTGTTCCCTAAAGCGCACCTTGTTGGACTTGATGCCGGGAGGAATCTTGGGGCCCTCCTCGCGTCAACTAGGGTCAGCTCACAGGAGGATGGGCTGCAAAGTAATGCCGAGTGTAACAGTTATAAGGCTTGCTTCTGTTCAGAGGACAGTGTACATCACGATCATGAAACGACAGGACTCTTGTTGTAATCTGCTTTTACAGTGTTCCTGGCTGCAGGCAACCGAATTTATATTGATGGGGGGGTGGTGGTAAAGAAGAAGAAGCCGTGGAATATGGAGAAGCGGTGGTGAAGCAATCAGTGATGATGATGATGATGATGATGGCGAAGCCGAAGACTATTTCCATGCACGATGTAGCTCCACTTACTGCTCTATGACTGAAAGCTGCACACTCTCCATATAAGACAAGACGTAGGGCAGTTGGTGGAGAAAGATCCGGCTTTTACTCTAGACCACCATAACCCGTAGCGACATAACCAACTCAAAGGACCCATCTGCTCCAGGCCCTGTAAAAGAGATGTTTCATCGTAGCCAATGGTCATTCATTTCTACGGTTTCAAACCTGGTTCTTCTGATACCCACAGAGTGCTGTGGCTATGATGTAATAGGAACCATGACCCTGGCGCACTCTTGCAAAGCGTCGCAACAAGCAACTCATCACGTTGGAAAATCGAAGATCCACTGGCAACAAGCAAAGCGCCCGCACACCCAAACCCATCAAGAATGCAATGCTACCAAGAACACATTGGGAATTCGGAGAAGAGACGACTGATAGCAGGAGCAAAACCAAACAGCGAACAAAATATAAGAGGCAAACTAACTAAAGCTCAATAGCTCCTCCACGCAAAATACCCCAAACCCTAAATCTAAGCTCAAAAACATACATCCCAAAAAAACATACCTGAAACTGCGGCAAGGTCGCCCCAGGCTCCACAAAGGCTACGTCCACGGAGGCAACATCGCCGACCTCGGTTTTCCAGCCGGCCGCCTGGTTGCACGAGGCGTGGCATTCCTTCATAGGTCATTAAGTAATATTAGGGTTTAGAAGGAGTTGGGGTTCGTGGAGTTTGGGTACTTCGGCGCAATATGGTGTTTCTAGAGTAGTGTCCTTTGGGGCTTTGGCTTGGGATTTGGGAAAATGAGACTGAATATGTTGGGTATGCAGTTCTGGCCCCGTACTTCTTACTGGAATTAGTACTACTCACTATTCTGCTCTGATTAACGCCGGATTACACTCAAACCAGGAGGACAGGTGGTCAACACCGTCCCAGCCGTGGCTTGGGCTTGTTCAATGGCATAGCCGTCATTTGGATGTTATGGCTGCCGACTTCCGGTATTAGACCACTGACAGACCGGTAAGGAGTAGTACTGTGCATGTAGATGTTGTACTCACTGCTATGGATAGTACTGACACTGTAGTGGTTCGTGTTCATCTTCCACAGGAATTTGTGCTTTCCGGCCTTGGCGGCCTTTTTGGCAGCGTCCACGAACTCCTGCTTTCCTGAACCCACAGACTAAGACTTCGGAGTGCCGCCGGGCTTTTCGGAAGAGGGCTTTCAGCTCAGGTTTCGGAATTTAGTGCTAACAGTCGCATAAGATGCAGCTGTTGAACTTGTAAGTAGTTGTGGTTCGTTATGCGGAGCCATCATCATCGTCTTCGTCTTCATCTTCTTCATCATCATCATCGTCATCTTCTTCAGCATCACTGGCACCATGATCATTTCTAGAGGAGGAAGGAGTGGCATCAAGACCCGATTGCAATCTTGAGTGATCACATGTAGGACTGTTATTCAAATCATGCTTTTTTGTGTTTATTCTTGCGACTATTGCAACCGTGGCTTGTCCTAAGGCTTGCTACGTCTTGGGGGCTGAGCTCCCCAATGAGCACCGTCCCCTCCGGGGCTTCCAAGATTCGGGGTGCTCCCTGGCACCGGCAGCCACTGCATGCTGCATGGTCTCAAACGCCATGCGGTGCCGTTCTACCAAAACGCCGCTACTGCGAGTTTTCAACAACACACGAGTTGGGTGGCATGCGACCATAGGGTGGCGACACGGGCGCTGCGTAGTAGGCCGGCGCATCCACTGTAGTGTTGAGACCTCAGCGAATACAAGTACATTACAAGAAGCGGGCCTGCAAGTGCGAGAGCATGCGAGGTTCGAGAAAGCGACGTGGCTACCTGAAGCCACACATCTTCGGTATGGAAGGGCCATGGAGAGGAGGCACAGTCATCACAGTCCCAGCCCCAGTCTAGAAGCTGTAACTCAGCAGCTGGCCCAAGCGAGTCAGGTCGGTCATTACGACAGGCTCGTCACCCTCCTAAGGAGCGAAGTCTTCACCGGGCAGTTTCTACAGAGTCACAAAGGGGCGAGCCACTGCCCCATGTTTATCTGGCTCCCTCCCCCTCTGTCCCTGTCGTTTGCCACCCGAGGTCTCATACGTCTCGGAAAGAAAGGCATTTTCATTCTGGTCATGCCTCGTTAGGTGGGGCTTAGTCGAGGGCGCGTGACGTTGCATGGCTAGTCCTCGCAGGCAAACCTTACTGACCTAAGTTGTTCCACCCACAAACACGCAGGCATGCCACAAGAAGAAGCATCTAATTACCCGATTCTCGAGACATTGCGCACTCATGAAAAAAGCAGAGTCATGAAGCATCCCTGCCTTTGGTGGCACATCCGGCACGGCCTGGCACTGTGACAGAAGTCCGAGCGCATAAACCCTTCGCATGAAAGTGTTTAGTAGCATCTGGGCTTCCGTCACACGCAATTTTCCGATCCCCGGCCTTGGGGCAATCCTTCGGATCGATGCAAGGCTTGGCTGCTTCCAGCTGCTGCTCGTCGCACTGAGAAAAGCCTCGGAGTGGGGAGGTTTGAATTTATGCCATTGCTGCTAGGAGCACGCTTCGTTGGCGAGCTCGGCTTTCAGAGGTGCTCTCCGCCATGGCAGGATGCATGCAAATAACAGTTGTGGATTTCAGAAATACCGTGGAAAACTGCGAGATGTCCGATAATTTGATATCACCCGGTTGCATAGCTCCTGATGCACCCTCCGCAACGGGCTCCGAGAACATTGCCACGGGCTGAAAGTTGATATCAGAAAGAATATACATACTATCGTGCTCGCGGCCACACCACTTACTTCAAGAAACAGCTCGATACTGGGAGTGAAAAATTTGGGATTTTCTTCCTTCCAGCGCTCACAGTACTTCCGAGTGACTCGCTTCGACGAGGCTGCCTTAGTTGCATCGGAGGTGGAACACGCATGAAGTAAAAATGCCAAACATACTTGATAACGCTTAAAGGCATATGCCCTTCTGAGGCACTCGTCGTGATGAGGTACGAAAGGTCGTCTTAAATCAACATAGCCGTCGCAAACATCAAGCTTTAAACTCCTACAAGCCTTCGCCTGAGCTCTTGAGCCTTGAACTTCCACCCCCTTGCCGCCCATAGCTTATTGAGATCGCAGGATGCACCCCGGACCCTTCTTCTCCCCTGCGGGACGTGTTCTACCCGGACTGGTTGCCTGGCTCGGGCCCAAAAGTTCCCGGCGCAGAGCGGCCGACCACACCAAAGCCGTCCACCTGGGGATTTTGGTGAGGGGTTGAGGGTAGGGCTCTGCCAAGGCCGTCTGGGTGACTTCCCGTGCAGACTCGGACTCTTTTCCAGTCTTTGCTGTTTGTGGTATGCAATGAACGTTGAATGGGATCACTTCCTGCAGGGTTCTGCCAACAAGCGTGCAGAATCCATGGCCGAGGACACAGGGAAGGATATAGCGTCAGGTATCTGGCATTCCCGGTCCCGGCTCCGCCCCCTGCTCTGGTCGCATGGAGAGTGGGGACCGGTGGGCGCGAAATCCTTGTGACTGCCGTCTGGGACCTTGCGGTGATGTCCCAGTTGTGGCTTTTTGGGATCACTGGCTTGGAGCCGGGAGCGGGAACGCGAGAGACTGAAACTATGAAGCTGACATTAAATTCTGAGGATGAGGATTAGGATGACAGCGACGCAATGCTCCTTGCTGCCGTACACCCACGCTCATGAAAAGGGTTTAATAACAAAGCCAAACCCACCCCCACCCACCCCCACCGGGAAAACGGGCAAATTGACAGCAACATCCATTCACTGGGAACCAAACCGACCCACACCTACAGGTAGGGGGATTGAAGCCAAAGGCAAGATCTGGCATGAGTGTCGTTATCTTGTGGCTGGACGAGGCGAAGAAGGTCAGTGGCATGATCCACATGACAGCCAGTGCTTGCACATGCCACAACAAACACAACCAATGCTGGGGACCACTGGGACAATGGCACCACCCGCACAAGGAAAGGGGGAACACCAACACCATCAGTGTATAATAACAGTCAGAAGATATCAGAAGGCAATACTACTATAGTTACTAGAAAATAGCTGCAACCACACCATATCAACTCCCTTCGGAGGAAAACGACTCACACAAAGACACAAAGGATGCCAGACACTGCCATACACGCAGCGGGATGGACAATTTGACACCAAAGCGGCCAAACAACAACACAGGCACCACCCCACAGAGCGGAAGACACACAGAACCCAAATAAGACCACCACCCAAATAAGACTATACCAACGCCGGCACCAGTCTACAGAGGGCCGGCAGGGAGTACCATGGCATTTGGGGGGACGGCGGAATGGTCAGGCCATGGATCATAGAGTGCGGGGTGCCTCGACTCCGCCTACCCGTGCAGTCTTTGTATCCGGTCGCATAGCTTATCATTTTAACATTGAAGTACAGGGCGGGTTCAACCGTCGCCATGCCCTAAAATACCCAGCTTCAACCGCGCTTCGGCGTTCTCTAAACAGGGGCGATGACCTCCCCAAAATGGGACATGTACATTATTCAGGTATTTTGGTTACTCTAAGTATGGGGCAGCAATCTGAACAACCGGATCGGAAAGCCCATGTACGGCCCACGCACCTTGCACGGCCCGCAGATGCTTTTCCGGCTGCCATCCTTCTCGAACACAGGCATTAAGTGGGGCCTTGTTTCTTGGCCTGACCCCTGCGTGAAGGTTTTCGCTTCTTCGGGGAGAGATAGGGGTAGAAATAGGCTGCAATATTGTGTTGCCCCGCATATAGTTACAGCCTTACCCCCAGCATACCCTACTGTGGAATTACGGGGTCTTGGAGCTCGGGTACAATGAGAGCACTACCGGCTGCAATCACGGAAAACCTCAGTGCGGCAAGATAGTCAGCAATTGAAAGCAGCAGGTGATAATCTTGAAGAGCCCACGTGCCATGACGGGGGAGGGGGGGAATTACGACCGCAATGCTCAGAACCACAGGATGCTTGAAAGCAACTCGGGCCCTGCGACCCTCTGCGCGCCTTCCGCGTATAGGCAGTCCACATGCCTCGGGGCACAAACAAGTGGCACCTTCTCACCATGACGCGCAGGGGGTACGACAGACACGTTCGTCGCCAACCACGGCTGCGCAAAATCATGACTGAAGAAACTAAACATAATTGCTTAGGCAAGAGGCAGGAAATACCCGCACTGGTTCCCTTCGCAAAGCAGTCGTCCTTCGCTATGCACGGTGTGCCGGAGAAAATCGCAAGGCAACCCGGCGAGCCAAAAATGCTGGCATATTCCTTCGGGTTCCTTCTTATGAAATATGCTGTAACACATGCCCCAAACGCCCTCTTCCGGCTAATCACCAAAGAGCTTTATCTGCTGTGTAAACTTGAATGTTGCAGGCAGTGGTTGGTCAAAATAGTGGGCATACATGTGCCCTAAGTTACCTGCGTGTCGAAGCCCGACAGTAGTCTTGCGTGACAGTCCATCGTAACCATAGTAGTGTTGTAGGTCAGTATTCGGAAGAGCATATGACAACTAGGAACTTCGACCCTCAGGGACAGTCCTTGATGATATCACCGCTGACGTCGGTGCAGTCCGAAACCTTAGAGACCAGCTGCTGGTGCTCGCAGCCTGGGCGCAGTGGCCACGATAGTCGGTTTATAATCAGGAATCTTTCAGGAATAATATGGGTAGTTATATATCAATATAATGATGACGCTCGGAGGAATGAAATTGTTAATTAGTCGGGCCCTTATATTGACATTGAGCAGTCGCTCAAAATCTCAGTGTCAACAGTAAAAAACGTTTCGCCTGGATCCTTCTCCCCAGCACAAGCCTTCAGGACGAGGACGTAACCCAAAGCCGTTAAAGGGCCCTCGGACATATGCAAGGACGATGCATTGTACCCTCAACGAGACAACGCACAAAGTCGGAGCCCTTGCTGTGATCATCCTTCTTGCGAGACTTGAAAAGCGTGTACTGAGTCTACTGCTTGTACTATGCTCTGAATCCTCAACCCGGCACCGTAAGCACAGTTAGGCTGAGTCTTCTCTCACCCTTCAAGCAGCTCATCTCGCAGGACTCCACGCGCCCCTGGGGGAAGGCTGCATTCCTTCCAGCAGCGCGTGCAGGAGAGAAAGGGTGTATGTCTATGCAGATATGTGCACATACATACA